TGCGCGCATTACTCAAGTAGGTCTTCTCGTATCACGTTCTTATTAATATGGAAGACTTTTATAAATTACTTGATAATCGTATCCAAGGTTTAAATCACAAGTTTCAAGATAAATTTTGTATAAGACAGTCATTGTATGATGATATAATTTTGGTTCTCCAAGATGGTTGGGGAGATTCTCAACTAAAATTCTGGGTGCTTAAAAGTACGTAAAAATTAAAGAATGTCATGAAAGAGTTGGCCATCACGGTCGAGACAAGACATGGTTAGAGGTATGTAGCGCAAAGATTTATAATTGAATTTAATAATGTATTTTTCAGGCGAAGGACGAATTAATAAAATTTATACTATGTATTCAGGAATATTTAAAATTATCCTGTAGGAAAAACTAAAATTTTAATTTATCCTAAGAGAAAGTGAAATTTGAAGTTACAGTACAAATTGAAATTTCAATTTCTTCTAAGAGAAATTAAAATTTAAAATTTTCCTAAATTTTAATTTCTCCTCCAACATACGTATATATCGTATCTTTATCTTCCTTTATTTCGTCTACTTGATCTATTTAGTCATTGATATAGCAAAAATTCATTGTTGTAGACGATTATTCGCAACGGTATTTATGTGTACCTGCTACAAGCGTACCATCAGAATCATGTTTCAGCTTAAGCGGCTATTTGATAAGAAACGAAAGATCTTCACTAGATCCTAAGACAGTAAACGAATTGATGCTTTTGAAAGGTAAACTTTAAAAACAAATAAGTTGAAAAAAAGATTTTTTATTGTATTTGTATTGATTTTTGTTGTATCTAAGTATTTTTTTTTGTTTTGAGGTCCTTGGGAGCTCTTTGTTCAAGAACTCAAAAAGAAAGAACGAAAAAACTTTTTGGTTCACTTGTCCTTAAGCTTCATCGACCCGGATGCAATAGTTCGACACTTCCATAATTGATTGAAAAAATTTCGATACTTATCGATACGATACAGAGGTTGGTATCAAACGCTCAATACCGATACCGCTTAAGTATCGGTATCGAGAATCCCCTAGATATGGGGCAGATAGGTATTCTTTTCTAAATACAGCGCCAAAAATCAATTATTCAAAGAATAACTGATAATCGATGTTCCCACCTCCTGAACTCATCCGCTGCTTCCTTAGTTTAAATAATAATTCGAAACCTGGCAGCGTGTATTGGAAAATAAAACACTACAGTGGACACGTTCAACAAACAAAACTTACTAGAATGAATCTTTGATATCGATTCGTCATTTTCACAATCCATGTGTTCGTTCGTCGGTGAGCTAATCTTCCTTCGTTTTTTGTCGTTTTTCTTTGGTGTTATTTCCAACATGTCTTGATTATCTAAAAGAAAGAAACTTTTTTTGCTTTTCTGGAGCAGGAAAAATGCTTCTTTCATCATACCTTGTACGTCATCGCTATATAGAACATCTGAATCATGTTTTGGCAAATCCTTTTGTTCAAAATTAGTGGACGATCGTTTCAGATTGTATAATGGAGCTATGTCTATATAGAAAAGAATTCAAATTACTTACGGTGGATCCGAATTTACACCGATATGGTTTACTGATATTTTCAGGGCAAGTGTAATCGAATAAATTGCCAATGTCTAAACCAACAGACTCTTTTATATTTTGAACAATACTTATCAGTATGACTTACCTTGTCGAAGTCTCGGAATTCTTTGTTTAGGGATGTTTTGAGAATGCCGAACCAGAACAGGTGTATCACCAAAACCGTGATCTAAAATGTCAGAAAATAATTAATCTGACTTGTCTGCTATCTAGTCAGTTCATACCGTGTAAAATGTTATTATAAAACATCTCGTCATAATCCCAACCATCTATCAAATTTCTTGTTGATCTGGGTGACAAATATTGGCCTTCATCATCTGACTTTCCAAAAGTGATCGTACTTTGACACTTGTAACGTTCCGATGATTTTGGTTGTTGTTGTACGATATGTTCGTTCTTTGATGATTGTTGCTGCTTATTTCCAGCTTCAATTTGTGACTGATATTGCTGTTGTTCTGTCATAATAAATGATTTTTGAATGTAGGCTAATAAATACGCATTTTGTCTCTCGCTCAAAACTTGTTCGACTTCTACATCGGCTATTTCACTGTCATTAATTTTTATCCACTTCTTTTCATTCATTTTGATATAAATAACGTAATGACCCGAGGCGACGTTTATATCATAATGTACAACAACAGCGTATAATAAATACTCATATGATGAAGATAATGATTGACTATGATTACAAAAATCGTTCATATTTAATGTTTCTTGAAATTTAATTGGGCACGATAATTTGTCACCTTGGTTGTCAAATCTTTTTAAATGTAAAATTAATGCTGGCGAGGTGCGCGAAATACATGTTTGTTTTAGTTTTCCCAAGTTATTACAATCATGACATTTGAATTCACAAACCAATTCATTGTCAAAAAAGTGGCGCAAGCAATCACTAAGCGTAGCATGACGGCTTGTAACTTCCTTATTATTTATTCGAATTTTATATGTAATATGCAATGGAAGAATCAATTGGGGTTGTGGTGAAGAATTGTACGACGAAAGACATTGTTGGCCGTTTGTTTTATGTGGACATCGAATTTTATCAAAAAGATACAGACCGAAGGCTTGGTCAATGGATGGTCTGCTTGCACTGGAGTCTGATATTGATTTGTGGCACGTTTCATCGTCAATTACCATTTTGTTCAACAATAATTGCAAAAATTCACCGGCATCTTCTTGAGAATGAGGAAACTGCTCGCATATTGGTTTCTCCATAGCCATGGCTTGTACACTTTTCATTAATAGTCGAGCATGTGACAGTAAAATCCCATTTGGAATAACAGATTGCTGGATATCGGATGGATTGTGAACACCAGTGATCAATGTTTCGACATGACACTGCCAACAAAAAGCTTCCGATTCTAAAAAAGAAACAAAATGAATACAGATATCAGTGCTATTATTATCATCTAACAACAGAACATATTACGAAGGAGTAAGAAATGAAACAAAAAAGAGTTCCTTCGAATTGGAGCTACTTTTCTTCAAAATCACATGGGGTGAATGAAAAGCTAGATGCAGCACTGACCTTCCGAATGACATCGCTTTCGAATATGATATAACAAAGGCTCGGTGGCAGCTAACAATTGGATAGTAACGTTGAAATAACAACTATTGCCCATGTTCTTAATTCCATTTATCGCTCTCGATACACGGGGAACTTGTGATTGTATAAATGAATTGTTAATAATTGATAATACGTTATTGGAAGCTGAAGCTAAAACAGACAATTTGAAAAACATTGCAATATATGAAAATTTGTATAGTACAAAGAGTCGACTGTTTGGCAGCAACACATCCAATATGGTCTACTTACATCTGACTGATGACGTTGGTGGAGCCGATGCTTCATGTATGTGTTCTGGTGTGTCTGAAATAAGATATACATGCGATTATCGTATTTTTCTTTAAAACTCGCTACCTACTCTGTTGTAAATTGAACGACAATTTCTTTATGTTTGGGTGAATCACTGTAATTTTTTTTCGACGCGGCTGAAATGAACAGTTTAAAAAATGAACTTATACGTGTCTCAAGTATGAGCAATAAAATCAATAATTACCTGAGGCAACGCTACTTCAGGATTCAAGGTGATGACTGGAAGATTTAATAAATTATGGTTTTTTATAATTTTGTCTTGAATGATATTTGTCGAAGAAATGAGTAGAATTCGGATGATCCATTATTTGACGTTAATACACTAGAATGTTGGCTCAAAATTTGTTCGTGTGAGGTTGTTACTTCTGGTGAACCAGAAACCGTATCAATAGCCGGATTTTCAACTTCTATAATACGCAATACAATCATAGACAAAAACAAGACTAAAAATTTGACTAGGTGCTATTTACAAAATCAAACTATACTCCAAGTATACGCAATAGAAATAATTAAAATAATATTTACCTATTGGAGTGAAATCGCTCCTTCAAACCGATCTTTAGTTAAATAGTGGAGACGTGCACATTTCATCGTATTGTCATATTGATTCGAACTTAATTAAATCGAGCACAAATAAATAATCAATATTTGAAACTAAGTAAAAGAAAGAATGCAGCATCTCAATGAATAATTGAACTCAATGCTGTGCCCTGAACTTCATTAAAAAGAATCGTTTTAGTCAAATACAAAAACAGTTAAGTGGAAACGAAAAATGTTTTGTGATATAGTCCCTCGACTCTGAGATTCCAAATCGCTTCCTTAACGAATTTACTAGCTACTGAACAGCTATTGGCTGATTTTTTGCAGATCCTGAAGGAAAAAACTTCATGAGCTCCTATTCTTGTTTTA